CAGCTCCAGGACTGATAGAATCACTGTGTTTGATGTGATAGAAAAAAAGGGACAATTACACCTAATTTGCCTCTTGACTTTTGGATTATTCCACATCTTTTCTGTAATAACATTGCCATTGTTTACATTTTCCTTCCTTTTAAATCAGGACTTTTTTTACACAACACAAAGATTTCAAATGCATTTTCAAGTCTGTCCAAATGGAGATGGTGATTTACATTTAACAAGACAACAAAACTAATAATAATAATAATAATAACTGTGCCTAATCACCTGAGTCTCTAAAAATTTCATTTTTGCCTTGTAGAATAAGTGCGTTTGAGTATATGGACGACCCCTGACTGTCACAGTGCTCCAGCTAATGGTTCAATGGCATAAAAATGGTTCAAGTGGCCAATTTTCTATTCACTTTGCCATTTTTCAAGATTTTGACAGGTTACAATAAGGCAGCACTAAGTGCCACAAAGGAGCATAATCTATTAGACGCTGCCATGACAACACAGCTTAATCAAAAGTGCAATGTTGACGCTTGGAGCAAAGTGATTGTTTAAGGAGTAAAACATGTTTATACATGGTTATTTTTATATTTAACTAGGGTTGTTTATTTAAGAATCTCTTTTTATTTATTAACTGGGAAAAAGAAAATGTAAAAAAAATGTTAAAAGATGAAAACTATATAGTTAGTTTGTTTTAGTATATAGTTTGTTTAAAAAATATTGGTTTTTGTGTGTTCTTTCTGATGATTATTTACTTCATTCTCCTGCCTCACTGTGTGACAATTGATCCATTCATAGTCATGTAAAATCACCAGTTTAGATTCTGACCCACACCCGCCTTTCTTTTCCTAAAGGTGTGCATTCTCCGAAGTTATCTGGTGCCCCCTATTGGGGAGGCCTACCTCACAGCCGTCACCATGTAAGTCAGCACCTAATTTATCCTTCCTAACCTTAAATTGAAAAAAAAAAACAACTTCAAATGGGATAATTTAGGCCTTTGGATTTTAGATTTAAAAAGAATTCATAATAATAAAAACCTGCTACATTTCTGAATATCTTCAAAGGACTGGGCAAAACATTATTCCAACTTGATTATTTGGAAAATGGGACTGTGTTGGTAATCTGACTGAGCTCCTTTTCACTGATCTTAGACATGAATATGCCATCTGTAAATAGAGGTGAAGTATCTGTTGTCTTTGAGCTTGTTTCCAGTACAAATTATTTTTTTTATTTATGTATGCTGCAAGATCTCTCTATAGTTAGGTTGAAACTTTAGTGAAGGCAAAAGAACTCAGTCTGAGTAAAGGAGTCTGAATTGGCTTGTAACAGAGTCCAAAGTCCTGCAATAAAGGCCAAGTTTGGCATTGATAAGATTACACTCCAACACATGCTTCGTTCCCTGATCAGCGTGCATGCTCACGGAAACACATTCCAACATTTTATTACCCTTTCTCCTCATATACAAAGACAACACAGTGCATTGTAGTACAGTGAGATGAAGTCTTACCTTGCTCTCCACAGGTGTCTCATTTTTCCCTAGATGCTGGCCCATGCTGCTGCTGGTGACAGAGACTGAAAGAAAAGGAACAGAGAGAAAGAGAGTTTTCACCACAGAAGACAAAGACTGCAGACTCCTTATCTTGGCAAGAGAAGCTACTTCTGCTAGGTGTTAAGACAGGGCACTAACAGGCACACTGACAACTGCACTGATATATGTGCTGCAATCGGTTCCATGAGTAAATTACTTTGTGTTGATCCACTGAGGCGTCATGCATGGGCAGAGTTGTGTAGTGCCTGTTTGGGCTCTGCATTAGTTTTGAAGCCTCTCCATGTTAACAATCCATAAAATTGACCTGTGTCATGTGTCATTTTCCCCCAAGGATTTCTCTGTTTTTGTTTATTAAAATACAGCCCTGAAATGTCTTTATAGATTTTAAGATAGACAATCATTTTTATTTTTCAAGAGTAGACAATCATTTTTATTTCTTTTGCCAAAAATCCATGTCAACTGTTTACTCAATTCAGAATCAGCAGTATAGATTTGGGATGGTGTAAAGGACAGGCATATTTGCATACCTGTTATAGAGGTTAGAAGACTTGCTAGACCATTGACCTGAGCGTCTTGATGGGTGTCTACTAACGTAAAGTGCCTTGTGCAGACACAAAGGCATTAATAGTTGGCAAGCAATGTTATTCAGCGCTCATCTTTGTGTAGTCCTCGCTGTTCAAATTGACTGTCAGCCTGATTAATTATTCGCTGGCTGTGCTTGTTGATGTGGTGTTTAAAAAAAAGATATGCATCACGTTTCTACTGTGCAAATACAACTGTAAGAAATACTACAGTGAAAAGTGATATCTTTTGGTTAATTTTTTTTTTTTTTGCCATGCAGATATTTTGAATTTAAACAGCTTTGCTTGCTTTCTAATAGCAGAACTACTATAAAAACGAGTGCCCCAATTCATTTTTACTCCAAAGCCCTGCAGCACCCTCCAATTCATGATGTTACATTTATCTTAACACTGTGTAATCACACAGGGTTTTATCCCTCAAGCTTTTGCCTTGAGGTGTGAACAGTTAAAGTTCCTGAAGCAACAGCCTTGATAGTTACTCAAAATCTCTACTCTCTGAAGATCTGAAAAACATCACAGACACGTAGTACTATTGTTTCAATTTATAGACACATTAAACACCTACATGTATTACCAGACCCCCTGTCTGCCTTTAGAGTGATTTTGCACTTTAAAAAGAGCCAACTGAGAGACACTCGGTCATGCTGTCTCGTTCCGGTTCTACAGCTTGTGCCAAATTTGAATTAACAGCTTTCAAACCAGCCAAAAGCAAATTGAGTATAATCAGAAAATGCACCAGAATTTGATTAGGCTGAAACAAAAATGGCAGGTGTAGGGCCACGCAAAGTTTTTAAAAACAGTCAACTAACTTTGACTTTAAAAACAGTCTGTCTGTCCAATCCATCAATCAATAAACACTGGTAAAACACAGACAGCCTGTATGTGTGTTGCAGCACCCTGCATCCACGTTGTCCTTAAGGTTCTTTTTATCTTGCTGCCGAGCCTGACGGTAATTACCAGGCATTTCATTAGTGTCATCATCTCTGAATCTGATACGGTTCTGGACAGTAATGGACTTTTTTAAATGGCAACTAATTACTTCTGTTAATCCTCACCGTGATCTGCTGCTCTTAATATGACAAAATTAACTGTAGTCAAAGAAAAAGAAAAAGAAAATGGAAAAAGGATTCTCAGTCACTAATTGTTTCAAAGCAAAATTACAAAGTGAGACCAGTACTTTGTGCTTGTGTGCTGCTAAAACACCTGCAGAGCATTGACAGCAGACTGACTGTAGCCAACAAGTGAGAAGCAAAGAAGCTGCAAAGAAAGGAAAACGTCCAAAAAAGGATCCAGTGAGGAGCAGCGACGTTGTGAGAAATGTCTTCAAAAAAAGCTTCAAGTGCACAAGGTGAGTGAGCTTCCTGTCAAAATGCTTAAACAAAAAATATCTGCTATATAAACTTCATTTGTTACTCAGTTGAGCACTAAAACTTTCATTTTGATTGGACAACAAAAATAAACTAATTTGGAAACTAGGCATGTCATTTTTGGTTGAAAAGATGTTTTCAACCAAAAGATGGTGAAAAATTATGAAGACATTTTTTTTCATCAAGTTGAACAATTTTGAGAAACAATTTAGAAAAAAAGTGTTTTTGAAATTGTTTGACAGTTGAAAATGTATGATAAAATGGAAAAATATTTTATTGAATTTCATCTTGTGTGCACATTTCTCAGTATATAAGAATATTTTGAGAATGTTTTAGAAATGTTTTTTTATTGAAATCTCTAGACAAAAACCTAATTTGGCATGTAGTTTTCTACATTTACAGCTGTTGAACAATTAGGATGAATTTTTTTGCCAACATTTCTTCCACAATTGAAAGAAATGTCTGTATTTCTCACAAAATTTGAGCATTTTCAGTTTATAGCATTTTTTTTATAATTTTTTAGGGAAAAATTCTAATTAACCATGTCATGTTGGTCATATGGTTCAAAATTATGATGACAATGTTTGGAAAAAGAAAATTCAATATTTTCATTTTCTTTCTGCATATTTCTCATCGATATAGAACATTTTGAGAAATGTTTTAGATTTTTTTTTTTCGGAAAATTTCAGGAAAATAATACTTTTGCATGATATGTTGGTCATATGGTCAAAATGTTTGTGGGAAAAAAAATCAAAATTTTCACTTTTCTGCATGACTCATCAAATTAGAACATTTTGAGAATTTTTTTAGAAAAAAGTTTATTTCAGAATTTTTGGAAAAATCATACTTTTGCATGACATGTTGGTCACATGGGCAAAAATTATGATGGCAATTTTTGGAAAAAGAAAATTCAATATTTTCACTTTTCTGCATATTTCTAATCAAATAAAAACATTTTAAGGAGATTTTTTAGAAATTTTTTTTTTTTTTGGAGTTTTTAGAAAAAATCCTACTTTTGCATGTGATGTTGGTCACATGGTCGAAAATTATGATGCATATTTTTGGAAAACAAAAAATCTTTATTTTCACTTTTCTGCATATTTCTTACTAAATAAAAACATTGAGACATTTTTTTGAATTTTTTTTATTTTACAGAATTTTCAGGAAACTCACTTTTGCATTTCATGTTGGTCACATGATCAAAAATTATGATGACAATTTTTGGAAAAGAAAACCAAATATTTTCACTTTTTCGCATATTTTTGCATTTTGTTCATGATAGGTAGGCTATAGTAAGATGTTTTTGGTGATATTTTTGAAATATTCATATAAAATATTTTTTTTGTAGTTTTTAGGACAATTTATTCATTTGATAGCAGGTTTTAGAACATAATCTTGCAT